GGGCCAGCATTGACAGACGGTTTTTAATGTCCAAGTCAATTCTTTCAGGCCATGGGTGCTGCATCACAGCAACGGCCGTTTGTTGTGTGTGCTTTCAATGAATAAGATTTCTGTTTTTAAGCAGCAGGGGAATCTGGATTCCACGCAACTCGGCACCGGATTATGTAGAAATGGTGCAGAACTGTCCCGGAATAATTATAAAAATGTGTGTGTGTGTGTGTGTGTGTGTGTGTGCAGAGCTGTTCTAGTAGCACCAGGTCAGGAGACGAGTTGCTACGAGCAACCTCCGATCTGACAAGCGTTGCCATGACAAACAAAAAAGCAGAGCCCCGTGTGAGAGCGGAGGGGTCTGTCGCCTCGGCAACAGCCAGAAACAACGACGGAGCCAGGGAGGGAGGGAAGGAATGAAAAGAGGAAAGACGGATAAAGACAAGCTGAAAGGAAGGAGTGACGCGGAAAATAGAAAAATACAAGGAGCGTGCTGTTACTCTCACAAGAGCTATGCTCTAGAAGTGTCTCTTCGTCCCACCGAAGTAGTGGAGCAGGAAGTGTCATAGTGTAGAGCTAAAAGAAGAGAGTGTTAGGAGTGTTTCTCATTAATTAGGAGGATTAAAAAAAGGAAAAGAGGCAACAGCAGTCAGACACACAGGGTCTTATTCCCTACTTCCTGACTTACAGAAACCTCGTTGTGTGATGCACAAGTTGCCGTGGAGATTCCTATCATGTCTCATCTTTGATGGCTTCAGACACGAGCTTCATTCCCCCCGCTTTGGATCCTTTAAAAATAAAACAAAAAAAACACATACCATCCGTAACGCTGACCTTGCCTTCTGTAGGCTTCCAGTTAGATGAGAGGAAGCCTGGAATACTAGGGTTGAAAGCACAAACAGAGTTGGTGTAGTTCGTGTATATATATATATATATATATATATACACACACACATCATATATGTATGCGTGTGAGTGACACAAGCTATTTATGCGCTGCTATAGCGACTAGTAGGACATTAATTCAGGAGAAGGTCTTCATCAGATTAGTCTAAAGAATGCAAAACCAGTCTAAAGCAGAGACTGGTCTTGATCCACATATATTGAACTGGTCCCTGGCGTGGAGCCAGGGTGAGCTTGTTGCTCTGTGTTGAGTCACTGGGAAGAAAAAGGGTCTACAGAGAGAGATGGTGACTGGCTTCCAAGACCTCGTTGGCATAAGGACCAACACAGGAAATCAGTCGCTTGGCTAAATGAAAACCAGATCATGCAACAAAAAAATAAATAAGGAACGTCGAGAGCTCAGCACAGCCCGGAGCAAAGTCACGTCCACACCAGTAAAGAAGTGGTGTACATCCCCCACACATCAACACCGCATACTAGTCAGAAGTACATCAGCTCGTCTACTTTCAAGCGTAAATCAAAAGTGCTCGGCCCTCAGGCGCCTAGTTACAGAATGACACTAAAAAGCAGTTTGACGACAAAGTTAAAAACCCTAAAACATTAGAACATTTCTCAATATCGAACGTTTTTCCGTCTTTACAGGGGCTCCGCCGACAAGGGCGGGCCCTGTGAAAGCGCAAAATCTGGCACCTTAGAATCGGTTTTATCCTGGCTATCTTACATCTTTCTTTTTTTTTCCTCTTTATCTTACATCCTTCACTAACCTTCAATAAGAATAACAAAACAGGAAGAAGAAGAAAAAAAACTATCAGTACAACTTCTGTGGGTTCAGGCACATACAGAGTAGAAAAGAAAAGAGGGGTTTGATGAGTATAAAACAGTCACATTTGGAGGAGAAACATTCTGTATGCAAATACACTGGATAGTGATGGACGGGGATCAGGAGCCTCAACGGCTGTTAATCAAAACCTTCATGGACGGTTAGGATTCTCTGAAGGTTCGCTCAACAGGACGACATTGAGACACCGAAAGGAAAGGTTGCGTTTGAAGCGACAAGCGAGTATAACTTTCTCTTTCCTCCTGAGATCTTTCCTTCCGTTCTCCCACTTATCATCAACCTCCATTTACTACCTGCCAAAGCTCCTCAGCTAAAAAAAAAAAAAAAAAAGCTCTAAGGCAGCTGCCAAATGTGGAATATGGTTTTCTACTTGTGTTCCTACACAAAGCCACAGGTGGGAAAACATGAGATGAGTCAGTGCAGCCAGAGCCTATAATAGAAAGATCGCCGTGTGCAAACCTTAAGGCCGTCCTCCTGGCTAATAATCAATTGATGTTGTGACGGGTGGGGATGCAGTGTAAAGTGAAGCAACAGAAGTGCAACAATAATAATACAAATCACAAATAAGTTGACAGCGTGTTGGCTGAATGAACTGTAAGACTGTTCAGATTCCAAACAAAGCTACCGTTTGGCCTGTTCAAGGAAAGCAAGAAAAGATCAAAACAATACTGGTCTTTGTACCGGTGCGCCATTTAGACTCCTCTCCCAAATGACAAGGGAAGAGTGGAAACACAATGCACATCCTGCATGAAAATGTTCCTCTTCTCTTAGCGGTGTTAATTCAGTTTAGTCTCACTTGACCCCTCTATTAAAACAACAGTCAATCAAACATCAAAAGGACACATGGCAGGGAGAAAATACAGTGTAAAAAAAAAAAAAATGAAATAATGCAGTCAAAAGTTCTCAAATGAGTGTTTTCATTTTTTTCTCTTTTGTCATCATATGAGGCAGACCTTTTTCTTGTTGTCGTTTCTAACGGTGTCCTCTATGATCGGAGGGGGGGGGGGGGGAGGGAGTGGGCCCGTGAAAGCCAGCGAAGGAGGAGGTGGGAGATTGAGGCTGACAGATGGGCCCGGTCAGGTGCTGCGATGGGTTTTCAGCTCCCGGCGTTGTGGAGTGGTTCTCTCGACCCCTCAGCTCCTGTCGACCGTCCGTCCTCCGATCTCTTTCGTTTCCTCCTTAGCGGCCCGTGGGGGGGGGGCGGGGGGCTCTAACCCAGGTTGGTGATGTTGGCCCTGCCGCCCGGTGGCGCCACGATGCGCTGGGTGTTCCGGCGAGGAATGTTGTCGTCAGCCTGAGCACCTGTGACAACCAGAATGGAAATTTGGCTAGAACTATTATGGACTCTGCATTTTAAAAACGTCCACTCTACTCAGATCACGGATGTATGAGTTTGATCTCGAGGGACCACAACAGCCCAGAAGGATAAGCATCACGCAAAAGACGATGGCTAATTTTCCTGGCTAGGTTATCTACTAGTACTGTAAGAAAACCACATCTTGTATACAGTGCATGGTATAAACAGAGCTACTTCCCATCCGTAGTGTAATTTGACCCAGTGGCCAACTGTGGTACTGCAACAAAATGATCCACTGGACCCCAAAAACATTTTCCACACAGTCCGCCCCCATAGAAGAAAACATCTATAAAACTGCTAACAAATGTTAAATAACACTTTCTCTGGGTCTTAACAACTATTGTGATTGGTGACCGTAGCTCCATTTAAATCATCTAATCAAACAGTGATAATAAAAGCTCACCGTTTGGCAGACGATCACACTGCATGCAGAGAAATGAATCGTTTGTTTCTGTGCATAGAGATCAGAGCATTCCTTTAATGTGTATAAACTAGGCTATGCACGGCGTAGTTTTTGTCAGAAGTTGGCGCTACGTCTGCACTCACCGGATAGGCTGAAACCAGACTGGTGCAGGTTACGGACGGGCTGGTTGGGCTGCTTGGCAGGTGAGGTCTTGGCGGAGGAGGAGGGAGTCATGGTTTTGGGGGTGACCGACACCTCGCAGACCGGCCCGTCGTACAGTCCTCTGGGCACGCCCCTCAGCTCAGCCAGCTGCATTTTAGGAAAGAAGACAGACACTCACGTCAGCTAGAATGAAGGAGAAACGTCCCATCCTCTTAACGGGTATGCAGGCGCGTAACGCAGACGCCAGCAGAACGTACCCTGCTGCGAGCTTTTATCCTCTTGTAGACGTAGTCGGGGAAGGGTTTGCGGGCCACGAAGCGTCCCGAGCCCTCAGTGGTGTGGAGGTTCCCTTCCTCCAAGACGATCTTGCCCTGGCTGATCACCACCAGAGGCCCGCCGCGCACCTCCGTGCCCTCAAAGATGTTGTACTCGACAGTCTGCGGAGGGAAGCAAAAAGGAAATTTTAAAAAAAGGGAGGTTAGGTATGAACGTCTGTCAATACGTCAGCAAATACATGCAAATATAAGTAAATCAATCCCCATGTTTTCAAGAGTAAATCGAGGCTCTGACACACAATGCGTGACATTATTTCTTGATGGAAAGGTTTATTATTCATCTCAGGCTTTCTGTTTCTGACTTACGTCTCCAGCTGTAAACTCACTCATGTTTAACAGCAGTCAGTTGGAAAAGGAGGATGACACAGAACAGAAGGGTTCTAAATTATGGATTCTTTTTTGAAATGATTTTGCAGTTGAAAGGAGGTTTATTCTCTTGGCTGGATTTTTGGGAACACGGCAAAAACGTTCTTGAATTGACAAGACAGAATGGTAATGTTTAATTGAAGCGTGCTCCTAAATAGGGTATCTCCGGTAGCTTTTAGGAAAGAGCAGTCATACAGCAGCTTCCACCCCCCCTGTTCTTTCTCTCTCTCTCTCTCACTCTCTCACACACACACACACACACACACACACACACACACA